CGTCACTTGGGCATTCATAACATATGTAGACATTCAAATAAAGAGATTGTAAGTTGCAATCTTTGGTGAAAACTCAACCGATGTTGGAATCGGTGTAATGTTTCCAAAAGGCATTGTATACAGAGGAATAATCTAATGATTTGACTGTGACATTTCCAAACTGGATACGCAGGCACTGAACGTGTAGTGGTTGTTTGAGGTGATCGCACGGCTTAAATACAGCTGTTGGACGTCATTCTTGACCCAGGCATAATTGGATGTGGGCTCAACCATTTCCTTCCTACAGTATCAGATCAGTTTATGAAAATGTGTTCTTCTTCAATTGGGCATTTTTTTTCAGATATACTGTACATGCATTATGCAGAACTGACAGCAAAGACACACATGACAGGAGTTCATCAAGTTGATTGTGATAGAAATAACATTTAGGTGGAGTCGTGTGGAGTGATCCGGCTGCATGAGAGCTCCCTCTGATGGCCAGACAGAGAGAGAGAGGGACAGAGCAAGCCAATGAAAGAGCAGGGACAAACAAACACACACACACACACACACACACACACACACACACACACACACACACACACACACACACACACACACACACACACACACACACACACACACACACACACACACACACACACACACACACCCACCCACCAGAGTGAGTGATATTACAGTTTGGCTGACGTTGCGGCTCCGAACTAAAAGATTTGCAGTGTGAAAGCACCTCTATTGTGCTTTTTAGTGTGACAGTATCCACTAGGAATGTGAAGCTAACTGGTCTTTTTTGCACACAATAGATACCATCGGGTTCAGAGGGGACACCAGCCGCAGAGTTTAGAGCTGACGTACAAAAAAAAAACGACAAACCAGAGGGGAAAAGATGCAGCTTGTGTGTTTCTATCTGAAACTAGCAACTCACAACTTGCACCGACAACAGTCACATTTAAATGACAACATGTTTTATTTTAGAAAGTGGCACTTGCTGAATATGTTCTGCTTGTTCAAAAAATCCAGCGTTTTTACATAAAGACAACAACTTAGAATTCAAGGTTGGTTTCAAGGGAACAGGAAGCTTTCCGTTTTAACTAGAATTAAAGCTGTGGATCATAATTTCAAGAATAAGATTAACATTGCTGATTCCAGATTTAAAGGATGTAGAGAAATACCCCTAAACTCTCAATCCCCAGTGAATTACATTTTCAGTTGGAGAGTCTTTCGTTACAGAACATCTCACTTTTGTTAATTCTCATTTTGGAAGCAAACTCCTAAGATGCAATCTGTGTATTATGTGTGAGCGTGACTGTAGGGGGTTTCTACAGGGGACTGAGAGAACAAGCTCTTGACACTGTTTGAACTGGTCCGTTAATCCTCAGCTCTTCAGGTGGCTCGTCCCCATGGAAGCAGTGTGTGTATTTCTGTCTGTGTGTTTAGGAGAAAGAGGTCAATAACCACAGAGAGGTCGAAATGCTGGTTAGTGTTGGAATGAAGTGTGTGTGTGTGTTTGTCTGTGTTTGTGTGTCCCTGTCACGGAGGTAGCTGAATGACAATGGAGGCAGATGTGTACACGACATGAAACCGGAACACGGCGTCTTCTATTAAGACTGAAGGAACTAAAAAAAAAGGGAAGGAAAGAGGATTAGGGAAAGATTGCAATTGAGAAAGGAGGAATTTTGTGTTACAGAAAGAGAAAAGAAGGAGAAAAAAAGAATAAGGAAGAGCATGGAGGGATGAAGGAAGGAAGGAAAACCTGTTAAGGTACATTAAGGGAGTTAGAGGAGGGGAAGCAAGATGGAGGGAGGGAACAGAGGACGAGTCAGTGAACGTCTTTGATCTCTGTCTCGTGTGTGTGTGTGTGTGTGTGTGTGTGTGTGTGTGTGTGTGTGTGTGTGTGTGTGTGTGTGTGTGTGTGTGTGTGTGTGTGTGTGTGTGTGTGTGTGTGTGTGTGTGTGTGTGTGTGTGTGTGTGGTGTGTGTGTGTGTGTGTGTGTGTGTGTGTGTGTGTGTGTGTGTGTGTGTGTGTGTGTGTGTGTGTGTGTGTGTGTGTGTGTGTGTGTGTGTGTGTGTGTCCTCAAGTAAAGTAAGGAGTTGAGTGAGTGTGTGTTCTTACATGTACTGTATGTGTGTGTGTGTGTGTGTGTGGGTGTTGGTCTAGGGCGGATGTTTTCTGAGCTCAGCAGCCGTGTAAGAACAGAGAGAGAGAGAGAGAGAGAGAGAGAGAGAGAGAGAGAGAGGAAGGTGTAAAAGGGGGGGGGTGTATGGAAGAGGGTGGAAAAAAAAGCGTGTCCCAGGAATTTACAAAATGAAAAGAGAAGGTTTTTCTCTTAATGCGATTAAATTTTTCCATTTCACCGCTTCCCCGGCCGAAAGTTTGAGCTCTTTAGGAGCACAGAGCCGCAACGCAACGCTGTCTTCAAGATGGGACGGCAGGGGAGGAGGAGGAGGAGGAGGTGGGAGGGGGTGGGGGCTGGCAGGGGGTACACCGGAGGGAGAGGAGAAAATGGCGAGAGAGAGGGAGAGAAAGAAAGGCTGGCAGAAATGGTACATTTGGTAAACCACTTGTTTCGACTGGTTGCCAGTGCAGCGATTCAAGCTGAGAAATTAAATTGAAAAAGTGACAGACAGATTGAAAGAAAGGGAAGAAAGGCAAAAGGATTAACGCTGCTTAGACCGAGCATGTTAGAGTGAATCTGAAGGAGTTTTTTCAACTTTAGACTGTCTACATCATGAGTTTAATTCATTAAACCAAGCGAGGAACTTTGGGAATTTAGTTTTGGTTTGTTTCAAACAGTCAGAAACGTGGCACTGTCACAGATACACCTTCACTTTGATGTCAAGGATAACAAAATACATTTTCTGACATGTTTTCCCTCTGATATGTAATACCACAGCCATAAGAATAGCCAAGGTCGATGGGAATTTCTTTAGATTTGAAGGTTTTTGTTCATAAAACAAAGTACTGGACATATGAAAGCTTTGACCTGATGATGGACACTCCAAAGCAGTTACAATTCATCCTGAGGGGACATGAGTATTTGCACCATTGTTTTCCATCCGATAGTGGAGATGTTTGATCAATGTCAACCTAAGCGCTAGAAATAAAAGTCAGTCGATATCACCAAGGTCAGTATGATCCCTCCTCTGAGGATTATGAATGTCAGTACAAAATTGTAGGGCAATCCATCGTATAAGATGCTGACATTTTTCGTTTGGTCCCAAGCGGTTGAGCAACCTATCAACTAACAGACCCACAGAGCCATCCATGACAAAAAAAAGATCATCACATCATCTGATGGCTGATGGAGACATATAATGATCAAAGGAATCTAAGACAACATAACATTTAATTCAATTATTATGTTGTGAAGTGTTTATATACTTGCTGATGAATGCAGTTGTGTATGAAACTTGTTTGAGTTTCAAACTTTGAAAGCTTTATATGTTTCGCCTTTATGTTGTAAACAATGTGCTTCATGCATATCAGCATTTGTTACTGTTGGAAAGATGTGTGTGTGTTGCCATGCATTATTATTTTTTTTTTTGGGAGGGTGCCTAAGTTGATTACATATTATCAAATGGAATAATTTAATGTATACGACAGTGCCATAGCTAAATGTGTTGGGTCTAAAGGTGTGTTTTGTTCCGGTCCCTCACAGTGGGCAGAGCTACAGGTGCTGATCTCTCTCTCTCTCGCGTCCGGTTATACTTCACTGGCGTTTATGTCCAAATCCATCAGATCTAGCTAGTTCTAGCTATTGATATGGCTGCTGCCCCTCCCTACTCGCAGATCACGCAGACTCAAACCTCATCTTATGCCCAAATTCCAGCTGAGAGGGTCTTCTCTACAGCTGGCCTGATTGTGAATCGCCTCCGCACCCGCCTCTCCCCTGAGTAGACATGCTCATATTCTTAAACAAGAATGAGTATTGAATAGCTGCATTCTGTGCATAGGCCCTGTTATAGGTTGTTGATCTCTGTTGTAATAGGGTTACGTTACCCTAACCCGTTATGTTGTTTGTGTATGATCCCTCTTTCATTTAAAAACCAAGTTAGGTTTTAAGCATGAAAGCTGTAGGCCTATAGCTGTCAACTGTTCAAACTGTGATCACCAGTTCAATACATTTGACACATTTGGTTTCTATACTTATTTGAACATGTATTTATAATTGTTTTTATAGGATATGTACATTTCGGTTAATCGGCTAACCGTTTTTTTGGGGGTCGAATATTGGAATATACATTTGCTTTCAAATTCCCATCCCTACCAAACATTCCCACTGGAAAAATATTGTCCCGTTGAAAACAGCCCCAGCTGGCTTGTATTTGTGTAACTGCCTAAACAGACAAAGCACACATCTGCAATAACGTGAGCTGATCCACATTGTTTAGGAAGACAAACGGTCTGTGAGTGTGATCGCACCAATGAGACCAATGAGACCAATGAGGCGTCATCGTTTCCAAATCCTTAATTATTCGAAACTTCTGTTAATTGGCTGCTGTATGGCCTTTCCTGTGTGAGCACCTTGGATCTGAGGCACTTCATGATGAGATGAGATTTCTGAAGAAGGAGTTTCAGAGAGACAGGAAGACACGAGCTGAAGAGAGAAATACTGGTTTCAACAGCAGCCCATCCGTGAGATTTTTTGAGAGGCGTTGAGGAGTTTTAGGAAACAAGCACTTAAAGTCTGAGGCGAGCGATGCCCCATCTGTGTGTTTCATGGAGAGGCTCAGCAGCAGCAGACTGAAACTAGACACGACACAACTTTCTGACAGATGCTTCTTGCCAACAGCACTTTAATTTAATTTGTTGAAGTGTTTTTATATCGATGTATGCTGAGTGGATAACACATTTAAGAAGGGGGACCATGGGACCTTTTAACTGTGTGTCTGTTTTTTTAACTAATTTACAGTGAAGTATACAAATATATGCTTTTCATTAAAGGTAGCCACACTTTTATGTTATTTTTAGCAGGTAGCAATATTTAGCAGGAAGTGGTTTCATCCACAGTGTGAGAAACAGGTTTCAGCTCCTCTCACTGTGAGTAGCATGAAGTCCTGGGCAGCCAAAGGGCTTTTTGCAGTGTTGGCCACATTGCCCATTGCTGTTAAAAGGCAGAAACCAGATATCTGTAGACAATACAACAATCTTTCATTTGGCTTGAATACAAAATAAAGCATCACACAATAAATCTTAGTTTTGGTTCAGTATGTCAGTTCTGCCTCTGTTACACTGACACAGCTGCCATAGAAATGGACTGACTTTCTCACACATGCAGTGTCTGTTCTACTGCAGAGTTGTTGAAGAATACACTTATTCCAATTATGTTTTTGTATCATAACAGTGGAGCATGTAGATGTAGAGGAAAGTATCTTCAATGTACTTCGTTAATTTTTCATTTTATAAATGTTTTGTCTTTTCGTCTTTTACTGGAGCACTTATATTTGATAACAATGACATTTGGTGCTTAAACGTGTTCCCCTGACCAGTCATTTTATCTGCAGTATTTTGAAATTCACCAATACTTTTGGGCCAACTGTGGCTCAGGAATTAGAGCCGTCGTCCAACCATTAAAAGGTTGGTGGTTCGATTCCAATCCCTGTAGTCAACATGTCTGTGTGTCCTTGAGCAAGATAATCCAAATTGCTCCGGATGGCATACCCAATGGTATTTTAATGTTAGTGGAGCAGGTGGCTCTTGTCTGGTAGACTTTGCCTCTGTATGAATGTGTGTGAACAGGTGAATGCTGACGTGTATGTGCAAAAGGACTTTAAGTGGTCGCAAAAACTGGAAATAGCACTATGTAAATGCAATGCCATTTACCATTTTTGTTTGTTTACAGTCCCACTGATGCAAATTCAAAAATCGCACAAGGAATACACAACAGTTTTTCCTGGCTTGTTATCTCTTGTTTTTCTTAGCATAAATGGACTTGGCCACATCTGCATTTCGTGGTGCAGAATGACAAAAATGATCCTCAAACTATTTAACATACTGTGATGTGTGGAGCATAATAATATGTCATTTTCACACTTTGTTATTTGGTCCCTCCTCTTCAGCCACACCCCCTTTTCCTCATATACTTTTTTACCGGGCATACTTATTCATATGCTCAACTCTTCACATTTCCATCATCAGTACTACCATTGTAGGTCTGACATACTGGATGTAGATTGTAGGTATAAGCCTGCCATTGGCCGCCTATTTCACCCGACCCTCTGTTCCACTTAAGCTATCTCCGCAATCTATTTTGCAAGAGCACCATTGCTGCATCCTGTGCTTAGCCCAATATGATTGTGATTGGTATAAGGAAATTGGAACAAGCCAGCGTGTTTTTCCCCTATACCAGGGGTGGGCAATTATTTTTTCCATGGGGCCACATGAGAAACTGAAAATATTGTGGAGGGCCGGGCCAAAAGGCTGAACTCAATTCTGCATAATATTAATTGTATTTCTTTATAAAAAGCAGTAAATAGCATTGTTTTGACAAGCTGGTAAGAGTATATGTTATAGTTAAACAATGAAAAAGTGAGGTTGCCTTACAAAAAAATGTCATTTATTAAATCAAATTTCCCAAAACAATGGTAAACAAAATGAACGTTTTTCACCATTTGTGACTCATATTAGTGAACATTTTCAGTCACATTCACTCAAACACATTTTGAGTTTCATTTACTGTTGGAAAGAGGTTCTTAGCATTCTAAAGACATCACAATATTGTCTTTGTACTCCAAATATTAAGCAAGATACATCATATTGAACTGTCACTAAACATCACTGAACTGTGATTTTGAGAAAAAGGCTTCCAAAGAAAGTGTCCCAGTTCACTGCTAGTTGGTGCCTTTACATGCCAACATTTGTAGTCTAACCACCTCATTTGGTGTTTTTAAGTTCTCTTTTCTTGTTCAGTGAGAGAAATCTAGTCTCTGCTGGGCTTTAACGAGTGCATCAAAGTCAGGTTGAATGTCTGAGGTGGAGATGCGAAGCACAGCTGACAGATGATCATCAGTGAGAGAGGATCTATACCTGGATTTCGTAAACTTCATAATTGAAAATGTTTGTTCACATATGTAGGTCGAGCCAAAGAGAACCAACATCTTCTGAGCATGTCTCCTCATGTTTGGAAAGTTCTCCTCCTTGAGAGAAGAGTAGAAATCCAGCAGAGATCCTGACTTAAAGTGCTCTACCAGTACTGCATCAGACTGCAGGTCGATGAGTTCCAGCTGAACATCACTGGGTGCATTATCCACACTGCAGGTAAAGGGAGAGGAAATCAGGTGCATTTCATCCTCGATTTTTCTGAGATCTTCAAATCGCCTTGAAAACTCACCATGCAATGCTCCCAACATGGATGAGTACCTGCGGAGGTGATCAGCTGATGGTGTGACTTCTTTCAGGGTTTGCATGTGAGTGAGATTGTTGCTCTCCAGTTGGCTTGAAAGAAACTGCATCTTTGTCATGAAAGCCTTCACCAGGCTGTGCATTTCATGAACAAAAAGGCCCTTGCCTTGCAGTTTGGTATTCAGTTCATTCATCAGTGCAGTCACATCAACAGCAAATGCAAAATCTGCCATCCAGTCCTCATCTGAGAGCTCTGGGAAGTCTTTGCCTTTCTTCTCACAAAACTCTCGAATCTCTGCTTTCAGGTCCCAAACTCTTTTTAGCACTTTGCCCAGGCTGAGCCATCTGATAGCTGTGTGGTAGCCGATGTCACGATGCTCAGTCTCATGCTCCTCCAAAAGTGCGATAAACTGTCTGTGGTTCATAGCTCTTGCCCTGATGAAGTTTACTATTTTAGTAACAACATCAATAACATGGTTAATTTTTAGCACTGACTTGCACAACACATGTTGGTGTATAATACAATGCAAAAATACCAGTTTCTGATCCGCGTCGATTTCAGTCACTTTATCTTGCATACGTTTCAAAAGTCCGACATTTTTTTCCGGTAAGATTTGGACAACCGTCCGTTGTGACACCTGCCAGTCTGTCCCATTTCAGTCCCAGCGTGTCCATGCACTCGTTTACCTCCGTGAACAGATCGCTCCCTGTAGTCGTCCCTTTCATCGACCGCATTGCTGCCAGCTCCTCCGTAATCTTGAAGTCCGGTGTTATCCCGCGGACGAATATGAGTAACTGGGCTGTGTCGCGGACATCACAGCTCTCGTCCAAAGCCAAGGAGAAAAAGTCGTAACTTGCCACTTCACGTTGCAGCTGAAGCTCCAGATTCCCCGCAATGTCCTCGATCCTTCTAGTCACGGTTCGCCTGGACAGCGGGACTTGCTCAAATGCGGCTTTTTTTTCAGGGCATATTAGTGCTGCAGAGTCCACCAAGCACTCTTTGACAAACTCCCCCTCCGAGAACGGCTTACTGTTTTTAGCAATTTTGTGGGATATCACAAAGCTGGTCATGGTTGCTGCATCACTGGATGTGTGAAGCTTGGTAAAAAAGCCTTGCTGCTTTTGCAGCTTAGCTAGCAAAGCTTCCGATGTCCGCGCCCTTTCAGCGTCAGTCAAGTTTTTATATTTCTCCGCGTGTTTCGTCTCGTAATGTCGACTCACATTGTACTCCTTAAACACGGCGATCTGCTCCCCGCAAACTAAACACACGGTTTTACCTCCGACTTCAGTAAATAAATACTTAGCAGTCCAATTTTTGTTGAAAACCCTGCATTCAGCATCTACCTTTCTTTTTTTAGCGGACATTTTTTTGAGGGCTAAAGTCGTCTTGTGACAAGGATCCAATAATGTGCACGTCTTGATATACGTATTGCGTCATTATGCACGTGAATAAAAAACAACTTCAAAATAAAAGCAATGCAGCTTTAGGCCATGCATGAGGTAAAGTTAGAAAATATGTTTATTTTGTAATTTCCAATTAGCCTTACACGGGCCGGTCAGAGTCAACCAAAGGGCCGTATGTGGCCCGGGGGCCGTACAATGCCCAGGTCTGCCCTATACCATAAAAATAATATATTTCTCTATGACTGTCACAGCGCTGTAGATAATATACACTTCTAAGACCGGTCCACTTCCTTCTTTCCTATCGGTTTGTGTGTAGTTTTTGTTACCTACATGCTGTTATCTGCCTGCCATTTAGACTCTCTAGCCCTAAGCCAATTTCAATAAATCACTGGATTTATCCTGCTGGCCTCTTCATCGGTTTCATCTGCGTTTGGGTCTCTTCCCAATGCGGCACTCCCCACCGTCACAGAAGTAAGCTCTGTACATCAGGGAAACAGACTATAATCATATTTATTTTATTACCAATGGATCACATACTTGTATGGATTATCCTCTCATCTCCTGGAACTTTATAGCATCTTTCAGCTCATTCTTTTGGTCTTTCAGGTCCAAGTGGAATTGCTTAATGTTGTTGTTAAAGTCACAGTCGGTCAACAAATATTGTTTATTTTGTTAGTCAAGACTTCAGCAATATTCCTCACAGAAAGTAATAGAAATGCCTGTTATAGAAGTTATAGTCTACAAACTTTTTCCTAGGCCTCTTATACCTGAATTCCATTTGTTTGCTATATGAGGTGCTACAATAACACATAATATAAGATTAATGACTGCCTTAAGGCTACTGTGGTGTGCAACCGAGGCTATATAACCCTCTTAAATACATAAAATACACTTTTTCTTCATTCTCAAATATCAAAAAGCTGCTATTTGGTGTGTGTACAATAGGATGACGGATCTGTCCCCTGCTGTGTGTGTTAGTTTGTAATTACAGGCTACAGCCAACCTTTCCTGCCTCCATTTAAAAAAGGACATGGAAACAGTGAGTGCAGTAGTAATGGACCCTTTTACCAACAGTTTGGACGGATATATAAAGACCTGAAGATGAAATGTGTCAAATTGTTTGAACCCACTTGTTGGCGAGTAAACAGAAAGGCTGCAAACATAAATAAGAATCATTTTCCTCCTGGTGCAGAGATGGCTAATGTTGTCTGGGACTTTGGCAACGTTCAGATGCTTTGTAGCTTTTTACTGTTTGGCGCAGAGCACCTGGTGTCCACTCTGAGCCACAAATCTGTAATTACAAACAGTTTGCTTCGGTGCCATGATGCAGATTAGCACTAACCATGCCAGTCAGTGTAAGCGCCCACACTTTGGCCTTTGTAGTATTACGCAGCAGCCATCTTAGCTCCAAAGTCCTGCTCTGTGGATGTTGCTCAGTAACTTGTGTCTCTTTGCCAGCTGGCTAGCACAGCACACATCTAACCATGGAGATGTTAGGGAGGAAAACGCTGTGTGTGTGCAGCCAAATCTTGTTGAGAGGGCGCTGCACCAGATCGGGCTGCCTCCAGGAGTCTTTGATAGAGGGGCAAATTGGTCTCTGTGCTTCCTCTAAAATGTATTTCTCCTGGTACATCAGTTGAAACGTCAGTGCATTAATTCTAACTGCTTATGAAAGATCTGCATTTGAATGCCAATTACTTTAATGTAATCAGGATTAAGATCAAGAATGTTCAGCAATCTGTTATTTAAACTTTTTCTGGCTCACCCTAAGACAACCCACACAGTAAGTCTGACTTTCCCTGATGAAACCACCATGAATTGTTCACATCTGAGATTTCTTTTAACAAAATCTAATTTCCTTTGGTTGTTATGCTGCCTATCTCTACCAAATTACATTGAAGTCTTACACTTCATTCACCATTTGGTAAAACAATTCCAATTTATCTGACTACGAATGCAAGTCAGGGACAAAGCTAAGATGTGTGTGGAAAAATTAAGCAAACAGGGGTGTCCTTGCAATGAAATGAACATTTTTCCTTTGCTAAAGTGTTCAAATTATGCAGTTTTCAAAGCGAAGCATGGCTTTCAGAATATCTTAACATCTTTGAGTGATTTGTAGATTCATACTGTAACACACAAGTCATTACCTCCTGAAGACGAACTTCCCTTTGTGTTGTGATTGTATGCAGCGGTATATTTCAGACAATACAGAAAAACTCACGATTGCATTTAAATTCCAGGGTTGCTTTTTGTATCATTTGTTATTCTCTTGCCCCCCGAGGCTTTCCCATGCCCACTTCTTTGGCATCTCTGTGCACCCGAGTGTAACAGCCAGACATCCAGCCAATGAAGCAGGAAGCCAGCTATCCTGCCCGCTTGCCAGCTCTCCTCTCAGGCCGACAGACAGTGGAGGAACAGCCTCTGCTTCTGGAAGCTAATGGTTCATGCCGTCCTCCCAGGCTGGAAACCGACTGGAATGTTGTTTACTTCAAACACACCAGGTCGACGCACAGAAAGAAATATACAGAATATCCCGTCTGAGTTAATGTTCTTGAATGGTGACAGAGTCTGAGGCAAATCCATCTCATTGACACCTACAGATAAAATAGTTGATTTTCACACCTTTTATAGACATAACAAAAATAAACCGAGTGTGACAGCTTGATAGAGAATAAATCTAACTCTGGGCACACAGTGTTGATGTCATCAACAATTTAGCCAGAGAGTACGAGACCAAAAAGATTAATCCAATGAATAGAGCTATGCCAACATTGGAGTGGTTTTGTTGTGCAAAATTAGAAAATGGGATCATTAAAATATCCTGAGTTGACTGTGTCTGACTGCTGAAAATGGGTCCCAATAACCAAAAACAAAGCCAGAATTTGCCTTTCAGAAGTGACAAGAATGTCAATTTTTCAAAGTAACTTCAAATAATTGTCCTAGGTTGTAACATTAAAGTATTTCTTCTGTTTTTCTATATTTCTTTGGCGACCAGCGAGGGCCCCTGAGGAGTCATCTTGGCGCCACAAATGACATTTGACTAACATTTCTGATTAGCCCTTTATTTCAAAGAATGTGGACCTTTATCTAGACGTGTTATATGGTGTACATTACCTGTCACCAAAGACAGGGGGTGTGACCTTACAAACACAAAAAAGGCTGAAAGAGGGGCCAATGTAGGCGCCACAAGGGACATTACATTTGAGCTTGTCAAAAATGTGATTGAAGAAGTGGCATTATACGCCAACTGGGACATTCAGAAAGACTGTTGATGTCTATATTGATGTATTTAGTGTCTTTCAGTGTCTATCCTGCAGTGGGGGCCCGACGCACCATTGAAAGTCCTTTTCAGGTCTGAATAGTGGGACAATAAAGGTGGAGTGGGAGGTCCATTCAGGTCCATTCAAAGGACTTTCACAACACACACACAACGGTTTGAGTTTGATCTTGAACAATGTCGCAAAGGTCAACGGTTGATCGTGGGGCCACAGAGACGCGTGTCAGAGTGCGGTCAAGGTCAACATCACAAAGGTTCAAGTTCAAGTTATGTAACGTTATAGTTGTACGTTTAGAGAATGTATTCACTAGTGAGGAAGAGTCTTTGTGTCTTTTTCTATGGGGCAGCTAGAATAAAGAAAGTATTATTATAGCTTCAGGGATTTGGATTCACCAAACCAAGAATAAATGTATCCCCAAGTCACTCTTCAAGGTTTTGTGGTTTTCACGGTCCCTGCCTTCCAACATTAGCATTCTAGTGTTGAAATAGGAAAATCACTGACAAAAATCTGAGGACCCTTTGATGCAAATTGCTAAATAAATCTCGAATGCAGTGAAAATGGTGGCTTTTAATTGATAAGAACAAAATGTCGGTTTAATCAAGATGAGCAATGAAAGTGTTCTCCTCATCAAGGAATTAAGGCGACAGAAAACAATTATTTCATAGCTCTCAGTAAAGCAAACAACAGATAAATGATTCACATGGTAACACAATTCCTTCCCGTCCTTTTGCTCTTCTGAAATTATTCAAATAATCAGACACCTCTCAGGGTCTGAAAATGAGGTGGAAGTGGGTGAACAATGCAACGGTTACTGGAGTAGAAGTCCCTGCTGCATGTTCAGTCGGCGCTGTAAAGGGCAGCAGGTTGAGTACTAGTAGTGATGGCTCAACCAGGCGCGCTGTGTATTGTCAGTGACCTTCAGAGCACCTCAGACCTACATAAGACTATCCGGCAAGACGCTCCCACTGTTGATG